GATCACGTAGATTTCTAATCACCACTGTTATTTCATTATAAATTACAATATTATGATCTTATTATTCATTATTAGGCCTAAATGAGAAATAATCATAAAATCTAGTTGGTCGAATACGACGGAATCACCATCGGATGAGTTTTTTTTTTGTATAAAAATCAGAAACATCTTTCTCACATGTTATCATTTCACCTTTTAATATTCTTCTTTTCTTCGAGACTTGCGAGAATTGATGCTTGTTTTTTGGTAGTGTCCAAAGCACTTGCTGTTGATGGATGTCTTCTTATCTTTTAATCAGCATATTTCCAAATATTTTATGTAATGAAAAACAATGAGAATAGCTAATTCTTAAAACTCCATATCAGCAATCAAGAAAATAGCAGAAGTCTTTGAGTATTTTGTTTTTGGCACCATGATTTATTAACTAAATTTGAATATTTTTTTTTCATGAAAACGATCAGCGCATCGACCTCTACAGATCAAAAAGTCTTCTAAGAATCTTGTGTTTTTTGCGATTAACCACCAACGAAAGTATCTATCAATAATACGATTCTCAAGCATTTCATCGTTTATCCATTCAAAGTCTTCAGACCACCTGTATCATTTGTTTGATTCAGTTTTAATGATATACTTAGTGCATACTAAAAGTAATGGCGAAGTTAGTTTAATGCTGTACAGAAAGTTTGAGGAAACTTTTTTCCGTATGTATTGATAATAAAAATAATACTCTATTGTTTTGTGTTATTTCATCCTACGTCAATTATACATTTTTTTATGAAAAAATCAAAAAACAAAACAAGTTATATCGACGAGCACACTTAACTGTTGAATAATAAAATGTAAATACCTCATAATAGAAAATTTGCTGTGAACAATCCACGGTTGTACGTAATCTTCTCTTTCCAACGGTTCGTAAAAGCTAATTTCAATGTTCCAATCATTTTTATAAATGTCGTTCATTTAAGTAAACCGTCGTTTCAATCACCTATTCTTTGCATAATAGTATCATTTTTGTCTGACATTCATACTAGTAACCGATTCTTTCTTTGTAACCTTTTTATGTTTATTCACATACAGCTTGACATTATTTTAGTAGCTTCGAATTAGATCGTTAGACTTCATTTTGCTTGTGCCTGTCTGACTCAAAACTCGATATTATCAATCTCTTATAGCATGATGCAATGCAGTGTTTTTACGGGAAGTTTTTCTTCCTTCTTCATCTTCTGTAATATGAGTATTATATCAAATGAAAGCTTGTTCTTTCTCTTTTTCTTGCATATGACATCCTTGATAAAACACTCACTTATGCTTCCTATAATAACAAATAATATATTTACTTAAGGGATACCAAAAGCATACAGTGATGTAGGTTGCTCAATTCCGTACGAAAAACTTTCTTTCTGTATGTACTAATAGTAAAGACAATGCTCTATTTTGCTGGGATATTTAATTGTATTTCAACTAAACTTATAATGATGAAATGTCGACAAAGACCTATTTTATTGCGATATGTAGCGATAACAGTAACGAGAAAAAAGTGGGTGAATATTTCTTGAATAACTTTTAATAGAAACAAAATAGAGAACTGTGGTTTTCAACGCTTGAGATATTTTCTGAAAATGTCAATGTAATAATATCAACCTTTTTCGGAACTAGAGTACTCGAAATGCTGAATAATTCTAGAGCAATAATGACTTGTGGCACCTGAAAGAACACTGTCCACTGAAATCGAGAAAGTAGTATTCATAAAAATTCGGATTTTTATTTCAATGTCTATATCATAAAATTTGTATTGGCATTGGTTTTTCTGATAGGTAAATATTATCTTGTGTATGTTCTAAAAGTCTCTTATAACTCATTGCACATCATGGATACTATGGACTGGAAAACGATATGATATAAAATCCGTAAGTATACGTATGCAAACAATTTGAATAATCAATTACACATGGATAAAAATTTTTCGAGACATTTGAGCATGATTGACGGTAGTTATATGGTTGAAGACTCTTTTAAGAATACTGAAGTGAAGGATTGGAACAGAATTGAACATTCGTTCGAAAGCGTTGATTTCTGTTAATGCTTATTTGATCGTATTGTATATAAATATAATTGACGATAAGAAATGGTCTCAATCGGTCTATTGTTGATTGATAAATGTACTAATTGATACAGCAAGTATTCTAGTTCAATGCACCAAATGAAAGAAAGAAATGTATCTGTTCAATTTTTGAGCTTGTTCTCCTTAGATGCTAGCTAGAAATACATTTTGATTGGATATTTTATTAGTGTTAACAAGTGTATAAATTAATCGACGATCCAAAATTAGGAATTCAGGAGAACTTACAACATTCAAGGTATGCATGTAATTTTCGCATGTATAAATGACCTAATCAACCGAACAACAAGGTTATAATCCATTGATTGCTGGGTATTTTATGTGCGGATAAACGATCATAGGAGAATTGTAACGGATTCGTAAAGATGTAATACAGGGCTTAGAGGATTTCTTCTGCTAGAACAATGCATGTAATGCATGGTATCATTGATTATACATTGCGTAGGTTTGATACCATCTACTGTTGAATAAGGACAGGCAGGCAGTGGAATAACTGGAAAGTTGTAAACTTCGGTTATGTGCGCCCTCTAAAATAATCTTTTTTGGTTCCTTTAAGGCGACCAATGGAGTGATAACCACAACAATGAAAATGTGTCGTGTCATGATAGGTTTGCTGTGATACAACAGTAAATATTTGACGTCTCATAGGTAAATAGTAAGATATTTTTTGTGGCAAGAGAGTAGATATATAAAAAGAACGAGAAAAATGGTGAAGAGAACTACTATTTTTTTTTATTGTTCTAGTGCATATTGATATAATGTCGACGAGCACAAGTCAAGAGAAGATCAAAGTCCGTCTTTACTATTGGAACGCTCGCGGTCGCATTCAAGCGGTTCGCTACATGCTCGAAGATGTCGCAGCTAAATATCCCAATGTCGAATATCAGGAAGACTTTGAACTTCTCGAAAAAGCCACCGAAGAGTGGCCTGCTCGCAAGGCAGATAGAAACATTTCTGGGCCATTTGGTAACCTACCCGTACTTTATTGGAATGATACACACATTATTGCACAAACTCTACCCATCGGTTTGTTAACGTAGTATATTTATACAGACATTTGACATGAACACTTGTTTTTCGTTTCTAGGACAATTCATAGCACGTAAATTCGACTTGTACGGTAAACCGAAACGAGCCCATGAAGATCCTACTGTTTTCCAAGCTCTTATTGATGGTGTTGTCTCCTGCGCCTACACCGATGTTATATTTAATTTATTCATGGTTCTCTGGAATCAAGTGGATTTTGACGATCCAAACCATCCATATGCTCGACTAGTGAAAAAAATTGCTGGTGATCTTAAGATGTTGAATGATCTTCTCACGAAGAGTTCAACATCGTTTTTCTACGATCAAGACGAACCAACCATTGCCGATTATTTCGTATTTTATGCGTTTACACTTGCAAAAGATTTTCATTCTGCTTTATTGCCGGTTGACGAGGACTCACAGGCATTGAACAAACTCGAACAAGTAATGAGAAATCGTCCAGCACTAGCCAAGTATTTTAACGAGAGTCGTCTATTCAACCGGTTCAGTGGCTCACCAACAGAACAGCAATATCGAGCGAAAATTGCCGCGAAGAAAAACTAATCGATATCTATGTAGTTGATGAACACAAGCTTCTAAATAGAAACAGAATATGGATACTACACAACTTTGAATGCATTTTGTTGAGTATCAATTAATATATATTTGATGAGTGTATAGTGTGAGGCTTGTATTCGCTCATATCCACAGCCGATTGTTGGCCTCATGAGTATTTTTCTATCCTAAGTTATTCTATGATACGAATTGAGAAGCATTTTATATTGTATTAAATAATGATCTCAAATAGGAAAACATCAAACTTATCAACTTTTGTAAAGAAACTATAACTTAATTGAAAAAACTCAGGCATAACAAGACATAGATGTTGTTTTATTTAAATTGCTGTGGTTTAATGGATGGAAAAATTTGAAAGAGTGTAAAGTTATATGAGTATCGTATGGTATGTATACATGCAGCTGCGATAATAAACATTTTCTCAAAAGCACGAGTTGTTTAATCCTGTGGTCATCGTTTTCTGTTGAATATGAGTGTGCAGTTTGTGCATGCCATGAAGTTAATTATACTGGAAATAAATCTCTTTTTATCTTGAACCTAGAGCAATTATTCGCTTGGATGAATTAGTAGGAAAAGAAGAAAACAATTTCAACAACTACAGGATGATTTCAAACATAACTGAAAACGTTCTCTACAAAAATTCTGTCTATAATGATCATTTTTTGCCACGAAGAAAAGTGCTGAGATCGTCGTCAATATATTTATTCTTTGGTCAGATTGTTACTTATACTGAAGAGGTTTCAACATAACATTTTTATTTATTCAATTATGATTAGAGCATCTGTCAATATGTCGAAATTGAAAAGTCTTATTCACTAAAATTCAATTTTTTTGTGCTGCATCTTCATCGATTACAATAATATTAACACAAAGCAATTCACTTTGTAGTATGATAGTATGAAAACATACGTTTTATCACTAATATTTCATATTGGGAATTTAGATTTAGTTGAACATATTCATCTTCTAGCAAAATACAACATCAAATAAGTTTTCAATTATTTTTCTTGCGTTTCCTTCATTTATGTTATTGTTGCTACTACCGTATTTCTTCGCCCATTTACTCTTTTCATAAGAGACATTCGAAGTGGATCAGTAAATTTCAATAAAGCAATCATTACGAATGCCAATGATACATCGACAAATATAAAAGCAATACGAAAATGATATTTTGGTGGATTTGTGAAAAATGACATGAAAATAATTATTGTATATGGAACACCAAGTGTTAATAATATTGTCACAAGTATAACTGTACGTTGAACCATTCTTAATTCTCTTTTTGCACGAGCTAATATATTAGCAGGTGTTACACGTTTACTCATTTCTTTTACATATCGAACTAATTTTAAATAAATAAACATAATTAACGACACTGGAATAACATAGATACAATGTGTTGCATAAATTATAGAGAAAGAAAGTCGAAGAGGTAATTGACATATTTGATTGTCAACATTGTAAATAAATTCATTAGTGAACATAAATGCAGCAGGAAACACATAACTAAATATCCATGTTGAACAAATTAGTAAGGCTTGAAACTTTGCTGATTGCCAGAATAAACGAAGTGGATAAACAACGGTAATATATCGATAGATAGATTGTAATAAAAATGAATAATCGAACACAGCACATGAAGCATAACAAAAATAACCTCGCAAAATACAAAGTGAATCTTCATACGAAATTTGTTTAATATCATTTTCAAGTGTAAATATACACATACTCAACAAACTACATCCTGCTACAATTGCACTTAAACATGTATTGGCAGTTATCATCATTGATACTGTATGACATGTTTTATCAAGAATAATAATACACAGAAAAAGAATACCAAGTATAATAGTCAAGCTAATACATACAAACATCAAAATATCGAAAGGAAAAAACCATGATTCAATGGTTATTGTAGTAGAATTTTTGACAACTATCGATGGTTCCATAGAAAGAGTTGGATGGGTTTTTTCAAAAGAAAAATGAATGAATGAAAAAAGTAAAAGCTTTCAAGTGAATATATATGAATGTTTTATCTATTGAATAAGTCATGCACACTACAATAATAAGTGAAAGGAATCTTCAGAGCATTGATATGAAACTTTTCTAATTTTTTTTCTGAAAAGCAAGAACGTCAGAGAAAATCTAATAGACTTAGTCTTTTTCAGAAACATGCTGAGTGATGAAATATTCAGTTGTTTTACTCGATAATCTGAACATGTTATGTAACTCAACTTAAGTTAAAAGCCAAAGTGTTCAATAATATCGAATAGAACTATAAGACATTGAAATACTTCTCAATCATATATTAGAAATAACGCTAACTGAGAATAACTAATGAAAAAATGATTTCGAAATGATCCATGACATATTTTTTCTACGGCATATTAAAACTTTCTTCCAAGAAAAAGATGCTTGCTTCATTCATTGTTAATGAATGGAATAGGTTTTGAAAAAAGCAACTATGGGTGTTAAACTGACAATTACGATTAAATATAAAGAATGAGAAAGAATAGATAATTTATTCTAAAAGAGAAGAATGTAATTAAAACTTCTTTCAAGATATTTTGAATCTAGAAATACGCAACATTAAGAAGTTTGTGCCACGTCGAGTTATGAACTATTTGAATAATGATGTCTTCAACTAATCGAGACAAATGACTTATACATCTTTTTTTATTAACCTAGATTATTATTAGAAAAAGTAAAATCATTGAAGAAAAACGGAGTGACTGTCTAATTCGAGTTCGAATATAAATGGAAATTTTAAAAAAAACATCGGGCCCCCTCTTGAGAAAAAAATTCTTTCAAAATTATAAATTATAAATGAAGGAGGACAATCCTGTAAGTGTGGCATAATGACAGAAAAAAAATATTTGAATTATAACAGAGTTAGGGCTATCCTATAACTCTTGCGATTACTGTATACGCAGAATGCACATGGGTCGGGACGCTGAAATGAAAGGTCAGTTAGGTAGCAAAAAGTTCTTTTCCAGAATCAGTATTGAGATGAACAATTTTCAGTTATAAAAGAAATGAAAAGCCGATGAGATGGCAATCATTACAACAACATTATTTACTGCATCAAAAAAATAACGGAAAGAGTGAATTTCTGCTTTTCTACTGTCTTTATAGAGGAGCCCTATCTTGTTTATAAACTATAATTCAAATTATAATCCGAATAAGATGTTTTTCTGTCTTTCTGCAGTAGTTATATGAGAGTTCTATTTCATTTATAATTCAAGTATTTTTTTTCTGCTAGATTCAAGTGCTGGCGCGACGTTTTCTAATTTATTTTCGAATTGATATTATGTTGTTGGAGGCTCATTTATATTATAATTCGAATCAGGCAACTCATGGGAAAATAGCAAAAAAAAACACTCATTAATATATAGCTGTTGTCAAGAAGAGAAATCCAAGTTGCAAAATAACATAATTATAAATGATTAGGTTTTTCAAATGTCAAACTTATCATTCGAATGTTTGTATAATTTTTATAATCGATAAATTCTTCATAAGGAACGTTTTAAGAGGATCTATACATTGAAATAGAGCAAATATTATAAATAGAAATATATGCAATACGAAAATGATATTTTAGTGGATTAGTGGAAAATAATATTAACCCTTTGACGCGCAGTTTTTTTTGCAAAAATCCAAGTTTCTATAAGAAATGTTTAAACAAGGTTATTATTTATTTTTTTGTAACAATCGATATAAAGTGATACAGAGAAGAAATTTTCTCATCTTGAAAAATTCCGAAATGAAATTAAGCTAATAGAGCACAATCCTATAGAGAAATATCAATACATGAGGAATATATCAACAGTAAAGTCAGACATTGAAAAATATACATGAATATAGAAAAAGAAAAAAACTGACGTATACTATCCATATATACAATAACGAAAGAGAATGCGTGACGAGTATCGCGATGATAGATTCGTATTGTGATTTCATGGTCCTAGTTGATAAGCTAACAGATAAAATGCTTTTCCAAATAATCAAAGAATATTCTAGTAACATCTTTGTTCAATACATGTAATCAGACGTACTTATACGTCACTGGTGTCTAAAAATTAAAAATAAACATTGCATAAGAAAAACGATGGGTAAATAATCTCATTAGAAGTATAAGGGACTGTTTCAGAAAAGATCTGATCAGTTACGGAAAGAAACGAATGGAATATGGTCAATTGATCATTGATCAGCACTGCCTAGTAGTCACTTTAAAAAATCAACTATTTACATCAAAGAGTTTCATTTTTTACCAGAATATTCTTTAATGTCCTTTCAAAAACCTTTATTTCGATAAAGGTACTCCTAGATCATATCCAAAACTTAAGTTCCTTACAGGACTGAAAGACGAAACTGGCAGAATCTATTTGCTTCCGAATCTTCATAAGGCCTTGTAAAACACACAATTTCAAGCGTCAGATCAAAGAATATGCAGAAAAATTGGCGAGGAAAAGTAATTCGCATACCAGAATCAAAATGGATGTCATGTCTTGACTCCTCATATTATCATATAAAAATTCAAAATATGAAAAGATTTTTTTTCTGAAAGATAATAGTTGTGAGCTCTGAAGATGTTGTGCCCATCAATAGTTTCGATAGCTCTACTATCTATTCCTCTTTGTATTAATCGAGAAACATGAAAAAGAATTTAATGCAAGAAAAAACAATTTGCTAATACGATATCGTCAACAAATGGTACCAACTCATCAAATCATTGAAGGGAATAAGATATACCAAATGTTTATTTCATAGCCAAGAGAACTTTTTTTTAAAGAAAGAGTAAAAATGATGCTGTATTTGAACGAAACCAAAGAACCAGTATGGTTTTAAGGTTCTTTGCGAGAGAAAACCTACTATTATCGATAAATTTGGCCAAGAGATTTCTGAACAGCTTCGTGACTGTACATCAAACCATTTCTAATTCTCTTTTTGCACGAGATAGTGTATTAACCGATGTTATATGTTTATCCATTTCTTTCATATATCGAACTAATTTAATATAAATGAACATTGTTAATGAGACGAGAGAATTATATAGGCAAAATTGGCTATAGAAAATCTTCAAAATGATAAATAAATACGTAATTGATTATCAATAAGTTGACCAATGAAAAGCGATGCCATGGAATATTTAAAAGCAAATATCCATGTTAAACAAATGAGAAATAATTGAAATCTCCCTGATTGAAAAAACAAACGATTTAAGTAAACAAGAATAGTTCTATATTGAACATAGAACATAACCTGTACATTCTCGAAAACTACAAAATGGATCTTTATATTCAATTATTTCATATCATTTTCAAGTGTAAACATGAATTAGCAATACACATCATTAGAATTGTTCGACATGTTTTATCAAATATAATTAGAAGTAAAAATATCAAAGCAAATATAATAGAGAAAATAAGAGATCTAATATTCAGAATAACAACTGAAATAAAACATGATTCAATGTCGGCTATTCAAGAATCATTGATAAATGCTTTTGCTATTTCATTCTTTTTGAGAAAAGATAAAGAGAGAAATATGTGTTTTGGTAACTGTAGATGCTTTTTTTTCCATTGAATTAATCATGCATAAGATTTTTAGTAGGTAACAACTAATGCGTGATCATTTTTATAATCATTTCCGTTTCCTATTTAAAAAATTTCTCAGGTTTCTCTGAAAATAATATATCAGAAAGCATAAGTAATTGTTCTTGTCAAAGTTGATGCTTGACTAATTGTATTTTATGATCATTTATCCGAGTTATTAACAAAAAGAATGAAAGTAATATTTCATTTATTAATCATTGGAATGAAAAGAAGATTTTATTTCAGAGAAAAAAAAATACAACAAGATTTATATGGTGTTATTTGTTTATTGAAACGACCCATATCAATCTCTTTGATTAAATTGAAGTTCAAACTCACACCCACAACCCAAATTGGATTGTTAAATGTTCTTTCACCATTCTTATGTCTCTTTAGTTCAGACATGACATTATAGTGTTATTAACTAAAAACATACACGTGAATATGAACTTTTTTTTTCTCGCCTATATATCGTACCATAAAAGAAGAGCGATAAAAATGATTTGCAGCTAGTGAACATGTAAGTGGTTGCTATTTTGTAAAATTCTGATATAGAAACAATAAAAAATGCCTTTGACAAAATTTTTTACAGTTTTTATCGATACAGTGCTCTCTTAGGATTAATGCAAATTGAATGCAATTTCTCTTGATTGATAGCTTAGATACTACTCTTCAACAAAATATATTCAATAGCTCTTCACTATTAAATATAGCAAAGGTAGAAAAAAAAATTTTAAAAAGGGATCGAAACTTACGAAATATCTTTTAGTTTATTGCTGCTGGAATACTGAATGGTTAGCACTATGAGGAAGTCGTCGTTAGAGACACTGTACAAAGATAGTCCGTAATGATAAAGTTTATTCCGAAATTTTCACATCTTCTGTTTGCTCTTATTCTGAAAAAAAAAGACATTGAAATCTATCGGTATATATGAGAAATGTCAAAAACACATGGGTTTATCATAGTCGCACCTTGGAATAGAAATAACGAAAAGATCTGTAGTTTTCACAATAAACTATTCTTATTTAATTTTGTCTCTGTGCAAAGTTTTGAGTTGAAATTCGAAATTTAGTTTTCCTGATGTCTCTGGAGGGAACCATTGTATTGTACTAAAAACTAACGTTAAAACGCAGTATCTTAGTGGCAATCAACTAATACACCGAATCCTTTTAAAAATATTTATTGATCATTAGAACCTACATGATACGCATTATCGAGAGTCAAATGCGACTTTTCTATTGAGAACCTTATCTGAAAGAAACTTCATTATCTAAGTTTCGGAATGAGAAATTATTTTTCAGATTTTAATAATAATAATTTACTATGTTCATAGACCACAGATTTAGAAATACAACTTGTCTTTGTTAAATGAGATAAGTATATTTTAACAGCGATACAAAGTAATTGAGAATATCATGATTTTCTGTTTATTCATTAAGGAATAAACCTATTGTTTTAATCAATATCTATATCAATTTAATCATTATATATTTTATTCCATATACAATTTAATAATTATAATGGTGGTAAAGGTAACATAGTATTTTCTGCTTATGATCATGTTCCGAATTCTCTTAGTGTTGCATTTATCGATGGCTATGTTATATGGTCTGATATCATTAACCATACATTAATTCGTGCTGATGCATGAACTGCTTAGACTATACATATACTTCTATCGAATACTATCAATAATGTAATTGCTCTTATTATTATTCATCCACATTATAAGTATAATGTAAAAACCAAGTATTCAATCGTCTTTGATTTATTTTTTTCTTCTAGTTTAAGTTCCGAATCCATGTGTAACATTTTTCATTTATTGGTCATCGAAATAATTAATCATGTGCATCGAATGGTCATAGCAATTAACATTGTTGTAATCCACTAAGTGAACGATGTATTCTATGATCAGCTAAATGTAATGGAACTAAGTAGAGTGTAGGTGTTAGCGTACTGTTCGTCTGTTTACACACATCGACACTCACTCGTACCTATACTCCACACTCTAAACTAAATAAAAGTGAAGTCGATTTCGAAATCTACCTTTCCTAACAAGCAACGCGTCGTTCGATTTATTATAATTGCACAATATGCATATTAATGCAAGTGACATATAGCGCAAATCAAAAAGACAGGAACAAGCCGCGATCGGGAGCCAAACACAACTCATGCTGTGAGCCTGAAGCATTGCAACGACACTTGGAAGGAGCATACTTTGAATCAATAGAGCATTTCTTAACTAATGTCCGCACTAGAATTAAAGAGGGGTGGGTGTAAACTCAATAACTCGATAATGGTAACAGCGAGCGATCTGCGATTTTCACCAAATGAAAGAGGGGCGGTTCAGACGTCTTTTTCTCCGATAATGCACAAGACAAAATCCTTTTAAAACGAATTCTTTTCCAAAAACATGCCGAAAGAATGTATGAAAATGGCCTGCCAGCTAAATGAAATTTTGATTTTGACCTTTGATTTAGATAGAGAGACTTGAGATCTATAGTTCAAGACACAATGCGCTTTCTTACTTTTCCTTATATTTTCGTCGAAATGTCAAGCTATTATAATAAAAAGTGCGAAGATCTAGTAAAAAGTCAACGAAATTCCCTATTATTTTCGCTTGTAAATACATGATTCCATTTGCTCAACGTTATCATATAATAAGAGAATCATTTGTATTATATCTTGAACTATAGATTTCAAGTCGCTCTATCTAAATCAAAGGTCAAAATCAAAATTTCATCTAGCTGGCAGACCATTTTCATACATTCTTTTGCATGTTTTTCGAAAAGAATTCGTTTTAAAAGGACTTCGTCTTGTGCATTATCGGGAAAAAAGACGTCCGAACTACTCCTCTTTCAATTGGTGAAAATCGCAGGTCGCTCGCTGTTATCATTATCGAGTTATTGAGTTTATACCCACCCCTCTTTAATTCTGGCGTGGACATTAGTCATCTGTATTTCACCCTATTCTAAAATAGTATACTGCTGTCAATATTGGAAAAACATCATCTTCTTGTTCATTGATAGTGAAAACCATTGTATGATCTCTGCTATACTTACTAGGAAAAGTATGCTAAGGCACTGCCGAAGTCTAAGGATGGACACTTGTTAGTGGAACAATCGGAATCGAATGTACATAGATTAGAATTGCAAGGGGGAATAGGACATATTCGTTGTCTACGCAAATCCAATAGATTCGTGACGCACATAGATTTTTTTTAGGACAAGCGCTAAGATGAATAACAACTCATGGAACTTCAGATTTCTTAGTAGTACCTAATGAGGGAGAATTTTTGTATTTCACCTTATTCTTCGAAAGTTTTAGTTTGTAAACGTTCGTAGATGATGTTGATAGGTCATGCTGACAAGAAAAGGGAAGAGAAGAACAACAGAGGAAGAAGAATCGAGTGATAAATCATAGAACGATGAGGAGAAGGACAAAAGAAGAAGAAGGGAGAACATCACTTACATGACACGAGGATTAAAATCTGACTATAAAAGAAATAAAAAGAGAGAGAGAGAGAAAATTAGACACACATACTCATCTTTCTAAAACATGATATCTGTTTTTTGCTCGCGTCTTGCTTTTTTTCTTTTTTTATTATAATTACGTTTATTCTTTGTTCTCTGTTCTCTTTTTATTTTTAGTACCTCTTTCGTTCGTTTGTTCTTTTTTTTCATATTTAGTCTTTTGTTTATTTTATTCTATTTGCTGACTCTTATCTTTTTTGAATGCAACTTACACACGGCACAAACTATGCTTAAGCTCTTTTATCCCTTTAGGACGGTTATGGTCATATGGCAAAAAATGCTTAATAAAAAAAAAAGACATTTCTATAAGTTAGGCCAGTTTCTACTTAAAAAAACGGAGAAAAAAATGTCGACGTTTCTGTTTCTTACTCAGAAAGCAAGACAAAATGATATAAGCACTACTAGGCAGACTTTTTAATAACTCATAGAATTCTTTAATCGTAGCTTCATATGCTTATAAACATAACAGAATAAAGACATTTTATAGAATATTTAATCCTGATTTAAAATGTGTTCAACAATATTAGGTGTAATAAATGGTGAAACTTCATCATATGATGTTATTACCAAAAAGGATGGTTACGAAATTCGTCGATATAATAAACTATATCTCGCACAAATTTCGTACGAAGTTCCATTAAACACCGACTTTTTGTCTGAATCAGGACTTAGATTTATTCCATTATACAAATATATATCTGGTTGTAATGATACACAAACAAAAATGTCGATAATGGCTCCAGTTATAATGCAAGAAGCTGAAAATAATTGTATTATAAAGCGTACAATGTCATTTATAATGTCTCCAACAAAATTTACTTCATTAGATCAAATTCCAATACCTAATGGTAAGAATATTCGTATTGTTGAACAAACTAATTCATTTTATTTGGCTTGTATTACATTTAATATGACAATGACAACAGAAAAAAATGCAGCCAAAGAAAAAGAACTTCGAGAAGCTGCTCACAGAGATGGATTTCAATTGTCCTCAAATAAAAATGATATACTTTATTTTGGTTATAATCCTCCATTTATAATTCCACATTTCAAACGAAATGATATTTGTATTCCAGTTATTAATCAAGAATTAAATTCTCATTAGATCTACTAACAATAATTCGCTCAATATTCTTTTTTGAGTCTTTGTTGTTGGACTTTACTTTTAAATCCTAAACATATGTCACACTATATATTAAAATGCATTATCAGAATCCGATGTAGAATTTAATTGGATAAGAATTTCTTGTTCATGTTTAACTATTCAAAACTTTTCTCTATTATAAACTTACCAAAGCTGTAAAGTAGGCTTTGATTCTTATTTTTTTTGAAAAAGAAATACTCAATCGTCAAAACAAGTATGTATGTAAGTGTGGATGGGTTTGGGGTGTGGGTGTAAAGGTGTTTGCGTATCTTATCTTAAATCACACCAACACCCACATCCTTGTTTCTTTTTCTTTTATTCCTTTATATGATCGTGTCTTCTTCATCTATAATAGCATCATCATCATCCAACATCAATAAGTGAGTGACTACTTAATTCTTTTTGAGATGAGCGTAGGGGGGAATGACAAAGACAAGATCAGATGGTGACAATGAGATTGAGCGACTTAGGATGAGACTCCGCAAAGTGACTGCTAGCAGGGGAGAAGTAAGCTATGCCTAATGAGGTGAGGATTCTATTATCTAAAAGACTTCCGAGTAGGCCTTAAAAACTGGGCCAAGAACTATCTTCGTGTCCGTGGAACATGATCAGACTTTCATCAGACTCATTGACATATCTCTGATGCAGATGATTTAAGTCTGCTCCGTGCGTGCGTGGGCTTTATGCTTACCGTAGTTTTCGCTAGGATAGTTCTTGGTCGTGCGTACGAATAGAATAGCCATTGCTTTCTTCAATTCAACGTGATTTATTGGAAGAAAGAAAAACAAAAAACTCATCGTAATGAGTCTATTCAATAGAAAATCGTTGAATACGATGAGCCAAATTATCGGTGACATAGAGATTGCCATATCGATCGAAGGACAAGCCTCTAGGCCAGTTCAACTTATTTGCTGCTCCTCCTTGCCCGTTTCCACCTACAATGACAATACCCTTTTCCGCTTCTTTGTGCCAACGCACCACGCGATGATTGTACGTGTCTGCCACATAAATGGTACCCAACGTATCGACGAACAGTCCTTGAGGAAAACTTAACTGTGTCAGAGCATTCCCTTGGCCTTGACCCCCAGCGATAATAATTCCTTCTGTTGCACCTTTATTCCATTTCATCACACGATGATTTGCCTCGTCCGACACATAGACAGTCTGTTGTCGATCGACAAAGAGGTATTTTGGCTCTTTGAGTTGGTTGAGACCAGAACCGGAGCCATGACCACCGGCCACGAGAGTTCCACTCTGGTCTCCTATTTTATATCGTCTTACTTCACTTTTCTCAGTGTTAGAGATGTAAAGATATCTCTGATCATCCATGGCCAATCCCCAACACTTGATATTGTCGAAGAGGATTTCTCCTTGAGTTGTGTCACTATGACGAGACCATCGTACGACTCGTCGATTTTCTCCATCGCAGATAATCAGACTGTCCGTTTCTTTATCGATCAACACATTAGATGGACAATATAATTGATCCAATCGATTTCCTCGACCATGGCCACCAGCCACTACTAGTCCATTCGTATCACCTATCTTCCATTGAACGATACGATCATTTATGCAGTCAGCAATGAACATTGTTTGATTATCATTAACAAACAAACCGAAAGGGCGGTCAAATTGATTGGTGGCATTGCCCAATCCATTGCCTCCAGCAACGATCACTCCATTCTGTGTCCAGTGGGCATTGACTGGAATAGTGGGAACCACTACAATGAATAAAAAAGAAAAGAAATCGTTATCATCATTGTCGACGAGATCTCTTGCACGCGAGAAAGCAATAGTTGCGTATGCAACATTCGTCTACTTCGAAGGAAATTCGGTAAAAATTACGAGGATGTTCTTACCACAGATAAAAGTTCAGTAACTTTTCCTAGCTTCCTTTAAAAAAAAAGATTTCGTAACGATTCTTACATCTAATTCATTTCTAGGTTTTGCCAAGATTTTTTAGACTGTGCCAGTAAAATCTTTGTAATGGATAATATCTGTACCTGGACATTGATGTAAGGACGATCGTGTGAGAAAGAGCAATGCGTATCTGAAACAAGCTTTGGATAGGAAAATATAGAGACATTAGGGTTTGATTCATAATCGCGAATACATAATCTTTGCATAATTATCAGAAGATGTACTAGCAAGCAAATAATGAACTCTCTCAGAGTCCTAAAACGAAAACATGCTGAGAAAATTCTATTAAGTTTTCGTGAGAAGAATTAGAATCTTGAAAAACAAATGTGTGTCGTAATCCGTATATATTGCTCAGGATACTTTTAACGTGGTTGTGACTAAATGTCTGATCTCATGATGTACTGAATGATGAATGCGAATCTGCCAACGAGTCTAGTAAATGTTCACATAGAGGATACAAGCATGACTTTCTGAAGCTATTGCAAACTTATGCCAAGCTGTTTAAAGAAAGATCTCGATAGGATCTTAGTGAAATCATAAGACAGGTTGTGTGAATGAGAAATTGAAAAACCTTGACAAGATTCGGCGCGGCTTTTCGTAATCTAACGCTCTCTACTTATGGAATACTGACAAGACTAATGCTAATTTTGTTCAAGATCTCCATGAAGAAGCATTGAGATCTGTGAACTTCATGCATTATGTGAGAAGAGGAAGTCTGAACGAGATAGCCAGAAAGTTTTCTACAAAGCTATAAGTAAGTTTTCCAGAAAAACAACTTCAAACTATTGTATTATGATGTGGATGTGAAGTGAGAGTGGGTTGAGCGTGTGAGTGTTCGTTTTGAGTTCCGACCCACACCCAAAAAACCTTCGATAAAAGAAACTTTTCTCCAAAAATGGGTATCCATGAATCTGGCGTACTAAAGATTCTTTAAGACACGAGCCAATATGTTTTTGTATACATTAAATATTCTCAGTTAGTTTCTATGTAGTAAGTAACATACATGAAATGCACACGACAATCAAAGTTTCCCCTAGACCTGTTCTAACAATTCTCATGAATGAATAAATAATCAATCTTTGACTAATATCATATCATTCGACAGTGAAACGTGTGCTCTCTCACGAAAACTGAAACGAAGCTCTTTGCAATCTTGCTAGTTAAAACTATGAGTGAAATGTTTCAAACAAGATTTCTGACAGAATTGGGACATTTGGTTGTAAAATTATATGAAGTCAGATGAAGTTAAGAATGATGAGATGCTTAGAGTAAAGTGCATTCTTATAAAATGAATAGAAAGAATGAGTTTCGTTTTATAGCTGTCAACAAAACGAATGAAACTTCGATAATGGCAAAAAATAGTCAAGATGGAGGTTACTAGTACTTAATTTTTACTTATGATAAACATTGAACTACTTATAATATATCAAATCATTGATCTTATCAATGTTATCTTGAGTTAGCTGCAGAATAATATTGCATACAAAGGAATTATATAATACTTGATTAAAAACTAACATTTATCAAAATCAAGAAGCGCTAAGCTAATGCTTACCTAGCTGCTGAGTAGTGATTGTAGTTGTAGTTGTGGTTAACATTGTAAGTGTAGTGTTCGTCGCTATTCATTATCACAGAATATTGATGTAAAAAAAGCAGATAATTGAGGTCCAATATAGAATGTGACATAACACTAGGTGCACTTAGGTTTTAAGTGAAGTCTAAGCAATGTTTCTATGTAGAACGACGCTCTAAAATGGTCTGAAAACCGACTTTTTTCTTTCAAAACTGATTTCTCTTGTTCCTCACGCAGTCGGAATGTCTGAATTCTAATATTTCTCTCTCAAAAAAATCTTTAACACTCCGACACATTGGAACATAATCTCCAAAAGAAGTAGCCATTTCAGAAATGGTTCGATAAGATGCATTCTGCGCTTATTAGTATCGTACTAAGACAGCCAGGTCAGGGGATGCTAGAAGCTGTAAAAACACCAATTACATGGATGAATTGCAAAATTATTGTACCGTTGTAGTCCCAAGATATAAAAGTTTAATAACTCCAGTTCCTCTCGGCCAATCTTTATAAATTTTTCAGGTTTGATGTCTCTAGTTAGTGCTCACTATCACACAAAAATTCATGAATTCATCGCGAACCAGTCTCAAGATATTAGACGCGCATGGTTCAAAAGTTCGATTTTTACTGCTCTCTACCGAACAAAAATATCATATAACTGTTTAGTTCTCTTGTCATCTGAGCTTGAAAGTTTGCGATATTTAGAGTGAACAGTCTATACGTCTCAGATATGGAACTGATTAGTTCTTCCATCAGGGTACCCTCAATCCTTAATTTTGTGTCACACGAGATAAAAAAACGACCTTGTTATGCAACAGTGCACTAGAAATTGGTTGGACTGGTGTTGAATGAAAGTTAAGGGGGAACCACCCTCAGAAAGTCGATTTTTCTTAAAAAACTCGATTTTTGAAAAAACACATATTCTAGTAGCCCTGAGTGTCCTCTTTCAGAATATGTATAAATTATATAAGAATGGAACATATTTTGCCAAATTCTGGGGCGTCTATTGGAAGTCATAGTGGAAAATCGACTGTTGTGTTGATTTTTTTCCTTAGTTACCGATAATTAATATCGTTCCATCTTCTTTATCAGAAGTATAAAACCATCGACGTATCAAGTAATCATGTTCTACCTGTTGCAGTCAGAGAAGGAAGCTTCAAAATTAGGTTATTTTTCGAAAAGGTGGCGCTACAGTAAACTTGGATTTAGAAATTAGCTTAATTTTTTCTTGAAAGCATCATCAACTGCAAGACCTTTTTACACACTTTCCAATGATAGATAATATGCTCCAATTTTCTACACAGGAACATCATCGACTACTTCGCAATGTTGTTATTCGTTTTTCTCAGCTTCACTTTTTTATCGTTTACTGATCACTGGGGAACATTTTCCCAGTCCACTGTTTGACGTACGCTGCTGATATTTTTTTTATTCAAAAGATGAGACTTTTTTCTAGAAATTGTGGGAACAG